GTTTTACCGAATTTCTCGTTATAACGAATCATATATGACTCCCCCGTGCCTTCGGTATAACGGGGTTCGACTGTAGTCATAGAGTTTTGCTTAAATATAAGATATTATGTCAATTTACAATAAACTGTTTGCAGTTTTGGCATAAATAATAAATATAAAGTGAATGATTTGCTTGCTTTGTATAGTTATGTCACACACAATCAAAAGGTGTAAAGAATTCAGTTAACAATATTTACTACAATATAATTAATATACCTAATACTAACTTATTATTATCACACAGGCTATTGTAAGCAGATATTTATCAAAAAAGGGTCTTTTTAACATATGCACCTGGGGTGTATGATTATTTGCATACACCCAGGGGTGTATACATTTCCAGGCACAGATTAATTTATAGAGAGCTTATACTCAGGTCAATGACATATTATATTTTACTAATACTAACTGTAATTATATCAAGATTTATTATTAATCAACTTTCAAACACACAGACACAGTTATTATTATTGCTTTTATTATTATGCCATTTCTTGTAATGATCGTGCTTTTGTAGATACATATCTTTGCAAACTGCATCTACAGACATAACACCTGATAATGTTCATATTCAACAATGGAGAAGGAAATTGTGAATCAAGGCAGGCTAACAGAATAAGGATTGGAGCCAGTGGTTTGTGTCCTTTATTAGGTACAACTAATACTAAGGTGGACCTCTAAAGCTACATCTGTGGAAGAGTCATGTTTTCAACAATCCCTAATCCCCAAAAATTATCCAATGTATGGTGAACTACCCCAGCATTAATTTTATTAGACTTTATTGCTTAACTATAACTACTGATATCAGCTACAGCTAATTTAACATGATACAACTGACTATGTATATTGGTTTGCAATAACGATAAAGTAAAAAAAATAATTACAAGTTAGGGAAATAGCCAATCAACCTGCATTATCCTAATATATATTATATTTAATTATTATTATTCTTGCAATTTAACTTCTCACTCATCTCTCATACAATATAATTTTACTTAAAAATCATCACGCAATTTACTTTTCTTTAGGCTTTCTGAAGGTGTTCCAAACGATCCGAATTGCTTGTTACGTACTGAATTTTTCCTCTTGCGATCTCTATGTGCACGCGAATTGGAAAGTGAGACTTTATTTGAATGGTCGCAAATTGCCTTCAACGTGGCCTGAAATAAGATAAGCTGATAATGAGATGCTGTATAAATAATATCAACTACAATGACAATGATACAGTACCTTGACATCTGACATGAGTGCATAAAATCCTTCAAGAATTGCAAGCGATTTCTGGGTGTTTGGCATCCTTGTCTGGGAAAGTCTTCCAAGGTGTAATACGTTTGTGGCCTTACAGTCCATCCCGTATGTTTCGTGAACCCACCCTTAGCATGAGAACAAAAAATACAGTATTAGGCATTAAAATTTTGAAATTCAATCATTATATTTGTCTACTTACCCCAAGATTGGATTCTGAGAACATATGTGCGATGGAGATCGCCTCCAGGTGCCTTCGAATTAGACTTAAAGAAATCGTACAAAACATCACACATAGCTACGGAAAGATCAATACGATCCTCTAATATTTTCCTGCGATTTGCGACTGGTAGACCACCGCTTCTAAGCCCAATGATTGCTTCGAGACTATTAACACTATTTTTTAATGTGCCCCGAAAATCACACTTCTGGTCTATTCGTGCACAGGAAGAAGCCCAGCAGGCAATTTCTCCACTACAAAAATTGGAAGAAAAATGGGTTAATTAGAGTTGATACGCTTGGTCTGCAGACTTTAGCTTTTGAAGATCAGATTGATGTATTCTTGTCAATACTTACCCATCCATCTTGAGGTCTTCTTTGTTTAAGAATCGTTTTGTCAACATTTTCGGAAAATTGTTGTCAAAATCGCTCTCTGAAACAGGCAGTTCGAGCCCTTTTAAATTTTCAGCACTGTGACAAGAATAAAAAAGTTTAATAATCAAAAGGTATAAAGTAAATTTACGTTGACAAACTTACTATGTTATGATAGCACGTCTGATATTATCAACAATATCTTTTTCGTCGTTTGTTAGCTCAACATGATTGTTCTTTTCAATTATTTCTGGAGATAATCTTTCGATTTCCTTAATAATGCTTTCGTTTTCTTTGTTTGTTATCTAAAAATGGATTGGTCAGCAACATTTAAAATGCTATTACCATAACAAGAAAACCTTATTACCTTTTCCACTTCATTAAAAAAATGTATCATGACATCCGGTATATCTGATTCGATTAAGGTTACCTCTCTTTCGAAGCTCTCCGTTATTTCTTCCCAGTCATTCGCTGTGAATAAAGGTCTTATTAGGGTATCCTCAGTAAGATCAAGGATGTTCCAATATGCAAGACTACAAGTGAAAATCCATAAATAAACATAATCATCAAAATTCATGGCCTTTGAACAATTCAATAAACTCACTTTAAACATTTTTGAGCCTCTGGAATAGTTTCCACATATCTTGCTAATACCTCTCCAACGTTAGTACCACTGCGGAGGACCCACAATCGACAAGTTTTTGACGTTGTTTTATAATCTTCTATCCGTTCTACAAATTGACCATTACTATCTCTGGCATTTTCTTCCACCTCTACATAATCATTAATCTTCTCATTCACTTCTTGGCAGTCGTTTGTCTTGGGAGAAGACAGATCTGATGGATCGGAAGTTTGTGGTCCTACAAATTGACGCGATTCTTCTTGCTTGCCTTCTTCTCTATTCTATTCAAGTTCAAAAGATAGCAGTTATTTATAAAATAAAAAAAAAATACTGTAGATCTTACAGTAAAAAGTGGGGATGGCTAAAGCGGGGGCAAATCACGTGATTGTGTACGGAATCGGCCGGAAAATACCAAAACGATTATTGGCCA